AATTCAACACCAATTTCTTATGTAGTAAATGAGATTTGGGTGTGTTTCTAAAGTGCATTCCATGTGGGGATTTTTTTTTTTATAATTTCAGCCCCTATTTTGGATATATTAGTGAAGCTCCCAAAAGAAACAAAAGCTCTTATTTCTCATCAATTTACCTCATCCCTTTTTTCTCATATTTCTAACCCTAAAGATTCAATTTTAACCCACCTTCTTCAAAAATACTCTGAGATGAGATTGAAGCTCGAAAAGGTAATTAGATTTTTAATTAAATCAGATTCTTTACTTTTTTTAATTAAATCTAATTTTTTCCTTTTTTCTAAAATTAAATCTTTACAGATTTGCAACAAGAAGGTTTCGCAGGTGGAGAATGTGGAGTTCCTAAAATTATATAACCATAAATAGGGTTTTATTGCTCTTTCTCTTTGTTTATTGTTAAAATTGAATTTTTTTTTATATTGGTAGTGTATTGCGTATTGGTTCATTTGTTATCTGCTTTAATTTCTTTCTTGCAGTAGGAAAATGTTTCTTAGGAAACATGAGAGAAACATGAGTCTGGAAGTCAAAAAAGAAATAGAAAGAAAAATCTAGAAAAAATAATTCAAACTCAAAATGGAGCTAACTGAAGATTTAGTTCACGATTTAGTTAATGAATCACAACAACCACCACCAAGTAATCAAGAAGAAAATGATAACAATGATCTGAATGAGAATGAACACGTTGGTAATCTTATGGAAAATGAACTAATCGAAGTTGATGATCCAATTGAGAATGAAAATGAAATAAAACCAGTAGTTCATGTTTTGAAATATTTATGATCCAAGAACTTAGGATAACATTAATTGATAACAAAACAAGGGATATTTTAGTAGAAAAAGGTCAGATAAGAGAAAATAATCTTATGTTTCCTGTGGATGGTCTCTCTAGGCATTTTTCATATTCTTATTATACAAGAAGGTTCCCAAATGGAGAGAATCATGATAGAAAATGGATAGTGTACTCAAAAGATATGGACAAAGTATATTGAATCTGCTGTCATTTGTTCAAATCTGTGTACAACAAAAGTATGTTAGCAAATGAAGGGCTTAATAATTGGAAACATCTCAGTGAGAGGCTTAAACAACATGAGAATAGTATTGAGCATATCTCTAACATGAGAACTTGGATTTATTTGCTTATTAGATTGAACAAGAACGAAACAATTGATAAAGAAATACAAGTGCAAATTAACAAAGAGAAAGAAAATTGGAAGCTAGTTTTAGTAAGAATAATTTCTATTGTGAAATGTCTTGCTAAGAGAAGTTTGGCTTTTCGTGGAGAGAATGAGAAAATTTCCCAAGATAATAATGGTAATTTTTTAGGGTTGCTTGAATTGATTGCATAATTTGATTTGGTAATGCAAGAACATTTTAGAAGAATTCAACATAATAAGATTAATTATCACTATCTCAGCCATAAAATTCAAAATGAGTTGATTAGTATGTAAGGCTCTAAGGTCCAAAGTGCTATAATTGAAAAAATAAAATAGGCCAAATATTTTTTAGTAATACTTGATTGTACTCCAGATGCAAGTCACCTTGAGCAAATGACTTTAATAATTCAGTGTGTAGATGTGGGGAATAGTCTAATAAAGGTAGAAGAATATTTTTTAGAGTTCTTGAAAGTGGATGATACATCTGGATTGGGGCTTTTTAATGAGTTACTTGTTGTACTGTGGTCTCTGAAGCTTGATATTAATAATGTGAGGTGTCAAGGATATGATAATGGATCTAACATGAAGGGGAAAAACATTGGTGTGCAAAAAAGGCTTCTTGAAATAAATTCCATGGCATTTTATATGTCATGTGCTTCTCATTCCCTTAATTTAATAGATTGTGATGTGGCAAATTCTTCTATTAAAGCTGTGCCATTTTTTGGAGTTGTGCAATGCATTTATACTATATTTTGCTAGTCTACAAAGAGATGGAAATTTTTTCAAGATAATGTTCAGGGATTAACTCTTAAAACATTGTCAACAACAAGATGGGAAGGTCATATTAATAGTGTTACAACCAAAATAACCCAAACTGATGATTTAAGACAAGCTTTGTTTGAATTGTCAAAAGTTAGTGAAGATGCCAAAATAAGAAGTGAAGCTGAATCTTTAGCAACATTAGAAGGGCATGATTATTTGGCATAACGTTTTGAAAAAAATTGACTTGGTTGGCAAAAAATTGCAATCTGGAGATTGAAAATTGATGCTGCAATATAAAGTTTGAAGGGGCTTATTTCTTATTTTGTAAGCTATAGGGAACATGGGTTTACATCTGCCCTGTTTTCTGCCAAAGAGACTACATCTAAGTTGGAAATTGATCCTGAATTTCCCAAAAAACTTCAAACTCATAGCAAAAAATAATTTGATGAAAATGACCATGAAGAGACTTCTCAATCAGCTGAAGAATCTTTTACGGTTAATTATTTTCTCGTTGTAGTATATGCTACTCTTTCTTCTTTAAGGAGTAGATTTGAACAATTGGAAGTATTTGAAGGTATTTTTGGTTTTCTGTTTGATCCTACGAAGTTAGTTTTGATGAATGATAAAAGTTGCATGAATGTTGTGTTAATCTTGGAACTGCTCTAACTCATGGTAACAAATCTGATATTAATGTTGATGATTTACTTTCTGAATTGCAAGTGTTACAACTCTATTTACCAAAAGAGACAAAGACATCCATTCAAGTTATTGAGTTTGTTAAAGCTTTGGATTGTTTTCTAGTTGTCTCAATTGCATATAGAATTATATTGACTGTGCCAGTGATTATGGCATTCCAGAAAGAAGTTTTTCAAAACTAAAATTGATAAAATCTTACTTGTGTTCTACTATGTCACAAGAAAGGCTAAATGGATTGGCAATCTTATGCATTGATTTTCAAAATGCTTTTGCTTCAAGAAGTTATTAATGATTTTGCTTCTCAAAATGCTAGAAGATCAAGATTTTTTCAGTGATTGTTGTGTACTTTTATTTTCCTGAATTTGTTTTTTTGGATTGATGGTTTAGTGGAAGCAAACAAAGCCATTTGGGTGCAATTGTGCATTGAAGAATGATATGAATTTCGGAACTTTTGTTATAGAATAGTTTGTTGATCTATTAAGATTTTAAAATTTATTTTATTATGGACCTAAATGTGTGTTTTCATATTGTTATTCACGTACTTTGCCTTTGTTATTTGAATGAAATTACTATGTTTAAGCTAAAAGGATTACATGTGTGCAATCTTTTACTTCTAATCAAAAACAAAATTGACAAAAAGGAGCCTGATTTTCTTAAATGGCACTGGGCCTTCAAAAAGTCAAGGCCAGCCCTGTAGCTGGGATACTACTAAGCTTCTTGGAAAAGTTGAAAGGGCGAGAATCTAGTGAGAACGCCTATGTGAGAACACCGTTGGATCTAATCTAATGGCTGTATGAAAAGCAATTGTAAGTGTAAGTGTTGTATTAGAACAAGGCCTTCTTCTCTCTCCTCCCTCCAAAACGTCCCCTCCAAACCAGTTGTTCGCTCAGTGAAATGAGGAGGCCATTTTTTTATCAGCTTTGATTGAGGAAGAACTGTAACATTGAAGATAGAGCACCCCTGTTAATCATTTTTCGGTTTGAGGAAGAACACATAAACGGTACCCTCATTTTTCTGGGTTTCCCATTCAGGCGAAACAAAAGAATCTTGGATTTTATAATTTCATCTTTGTGGTTGGGTTTTTGGGGTCGAAACATACGTCAATCCTTGAGCAACGTTGAAACTGGTGTTGAGTTGGAAAGTGCAGACCGTACCGTTGTGGTTCTACTCTGTTGGTTTTGAAATCCTTGAGCGCGAGCGAAACAGGGGTTGAGGAAGATGAAAAGTTTTTGGGGTTGACGTCCAGATCTAAAAGGGCTACGTTACGTTGTCATATTTGTTGAAATTTTGAAGTTGAAAATCAGTTACGAGGTAAGCCATATACTGTATTTGTCAATTTCATTATTGGCCATCAACATGAGTCACTTTAGGTTGTATGTATGTCTTTAATGTTTCAGCAGAGAGTCATTTGCATGTCATATGTTAGTTAATACATATTTTAAAGCTGTTTGAAAGCATGTGCCAAATATTGGGCATCAACATGAGTCAGATTACGTTGTATGTATGTCTTTAATGTTTCACCAGAGAGTCATTTTGATGTCATCTGTTAGTTAATATATATTTCAAAGCTATTTGAAAGCATGTGCCAAATATTGGGCATCGGCACGAGTTACGTTAGTTTGTATGTAGGTCTTTAATATTTCACAGAGAGTGATTTTCATGTCATATATGATGGTGGTGATATGATATTCAGGGTTAAATTGCAAGAACTGTGAAATGGAGTGCGAAGGACAAGTGACACCGGAAGTTAGTTCGGACTTGAAACCATAATTGGGACTTGAATTTGATTGTTGTGAGGATGTGTTCAATTTCTATAATATGTATGTCGCAAAAGCCAGATTCGGCATTCGGTGTTATACAACAAGAACGTGCACATTCATAGGAGAGGTAACAAGGAAAAAATATGTATGCTGTAAACAAGGGTATTCGTTGACAAGCACTATTAGTCGTAAGAGAAGACACCGAGGTTGTACTTGAACTGGGTGCATGGCTAAACTTGCGATTTTGAAGATAAAATAGAAGAATAAGTACACTGTTGTAGGATTCAATGAGGTACACAACCATGACATGACCACAGTTGATAAAGTCCATCTATTGAGATCTCACCGTAACTTAACAGAGTCTACAAAGGCCTATAGTGCACATATGAGCAAAGTTAATATCCCTGTACATAAACAGGTAAGCCTTCTTGAGGTGCAAGTAGGGAGATTGGAAAATGTTGGGTTTGTTAGGAGAGATGTTTATAATTATGCAAGGGATGTGCGTGGGGAGGTGATTGGGCATGATGCAAAGCTGCTGAAGGAGCATTTTTTGGCTGAGTAAGGAAAAAATGAATCATTTTATTTCAAGATGAAGGTAGATTCAGAAGGAAGGATAAGAAATGTTTTCTGGGCAGATGCAAGGTCAAGACGAGCTTATAGGTTTTTTGGGGATGTGATGGTATTTGATACGAAGTTCAACACGAACCGCTATGGGATGGTCTTTTCACCTTTGTTAGGTGTTAATAACCATCGGCAGACAGTGTTGTTTGGTTGTGCATTCCTAACTAGTGAAACCATGAATTCATTTGTATGGTTGTTCGAAGAATTCAAGAAAGCCATGCCAGGTGAGCCACCCAAAATGATCATCACTGATCAAGATGCTGCCATGTCAAAGGCAATTGCTTTAACTCTCCCAACAACATTCCATAGATATTGCATATGGCATATTTTGAATAAGTTTATGAATGCAATTGCTTTAACTCTCCCAACAACATTCCATAGATATTGCATATGGCATATCTTGAATAAGTTTATGGAGAAACCCGGCATTGGGGAATGTTTTTCGGAAATGTGCAAATGCATATGGGGTATGGACACGAAAGAAGAATTTGATGCAAAATGGGATGAAATCATCACAAGCAATGGGCTGAAAGACCATCCATGGCTGAGCTCGATTCATGCTTTGCTTGAGAATTGGGTTCCATCATATGTAAAACATGTGTTTTTGGCTAGGATGTCAAATAGTCAATGGGCTGAAAGCTGTCATTCATTTTTCAAACAATATATTAACCGGAAAAACACATTGATGGAATTCATTTTACGTTTTGAAAGAGCTCTTGGTTCACAGAGGCACAAGGAGTTAATGGCTGATCATGTTGATACCAATGAAAAAACTCCACTGCCATTTCGAACACCAATGCAACATCAAATGACACGCATTTACACTCGGGAAATTCTTGAACTGTTTGAGAGGGAAGACTTCAAAAACCTTTTATGCTTGTTTGAACTTGTAGAGCAAGATGAGACCCAGTGCAGGTACAAAGTAAGTGAACAGGTAAATCGTGGGTGACACGGATGAAGGAGCTTGTGCATGATAAAGATGCCGATAAAGCTTATTGCAGTTGCAAAGGATTTGAATTTTGGGGTATTTCGTGCCGACACATCCTAGCATTTTTAAGAATGAAGCAGGTGGAGCACTTGCCAGACACTTACATATTAAAAAGATGGCTTCAAAGTGCAAAGTGCAGTGTAGTATATGATAAGAATGACAAATAAGTTAAAGATTGCGTGGACCGTTTGGTTTTGGTTAAGAGATCGAAACTTTACAAAGTTGCAGGTGATTTGATAGATTCGGCTTTGTTGTGTGATGAAGGTTTTGAGTTGCTGGAAAATTTATTTGATGACATTCATGGGAAGCTTACAAGGTTGTTGTCATCAAGAGCTCGTGTCGAAGAAGAACCCAATGGAGAGGTCGGAACTAGTTCTCCCGAAGTCAGAATGAAAGATCCCCATCGAGTAAAAGCAAAATGGCGTGCGAGAAGAGTGAAAGGACAAAAAGAGAAGGCAGCGGAATGACATAAACGGTGGTGCCACTGAATGTAGGAAGACTGATCATGATAGACGGAGATGTCCAATACTTGGGAGCCCGTAAGTGAATATGTAATTGTCTGGGTTTGAATTTTATACAAGAAATGCTGTTGACTTGTTTATTTGTTTCGATGTTGCAGCTTTTCATCTTCCGACGCAAAAGTTGGTGCTGCAGTTGATGAGAATTTGCAGCCCAGTCAGAGCACGCAGGACAGGAAACCTACTATAACAGAGTCATTTATGCAAGAGTTTGATTTCATTTACGGTCCCGGAGTTTGAATATTTGTTGATACCAATTTGCGTAGTTTTTGAAACCATTTGGAACCGTTAGTGAATCTTATGTAAGCGCCTCATGTTGATACTGAACTAAGGTTTGTGAACATCAACAGTCAAACCGCCCAAAAACAAAGTAACTTTTGTATTCGATAATTATTAAGTGTCACACACGTATCGCATGACTTGCATTCGGACATAGAAAAATAAAATTAAAAAAACTACATTAAAGTCAACAATATGTTATTTGAAGAGCCACTTAGTTATCAGCATCAGAGTCATCACTTGACTCAAAGTGGCCACGTTCCTCCCAATCTAGAATGCGTTTGTCATTGTAGCAATCCT